GGCTGTCTGCAGCAGTGTACGAAACAGCATCTTTTAGGTACAAGACACATGAGGAATCATCCCCAGCTTGCTCTCTACTCTTCACAGCTCTTTCTGTGTCTAAGGCAGACTTTCAAGGAGAAGCTCTTATCTCAGATGTCTGCACAGGATTGCTTGTGGTGCACTTACAGTGTGCATTACTCTCCCGGCTAACCAAAGTACAAGGTGGTGTGCTGCCCGGGATGTGCTGTGTCTATATTTGGCTCACAAACAGTCTGTGCTGCTGTACCCCAGCTGGGCTGCTGGGACGCCAGCCGTGGTGGTGTCAGTGGTGCATGTATCCCGGCTGTCCTGGCCAGGCAGGGTCAGGGGACTGGGGTGGGACAGCATTTCTTCGGTGTTTAGTGTGCCAAAAAGTGAAGCGTGTGACGCCTGCTTGGGCCGCTTTGGCAGGATGCCTTTACCTGGCTAATGTGATTGCTTGTAGGATGCACAAACATATGCAGATGACAACAGCTTGCTGTTCATGGAGACGTCGGCAAAGACAGCGATGAATGTGAATGAAATCTTCATGGCAATAGGTAACAGCTTGTGTGCAGAAGGATGGCTGGAGTAGCTCTGAGCGCCAGCAGCGCAGCCCGCTGGAAACCCTGGCAGCTCCCGAGTCAGCCAGGGTCGGAAGCTCTTACTGGAGTTGATGACCAGTTTGTTATGGCTCTGTGAACAGTCACTCCCTGAGTGTTTGGAGCCTTTGTCTCGCAAAGCCTGTTTCCCCCTCTCCCTTTATCTGGGACGGTGAGTAAGGAAGGAGCGGGAGTGATGACGGGCAGAGCGAGAAGTGGGTTGGTTTGTGCCGCTGCTGCTAGCAGCACCCAGTCCCAGACTCCCTGAGGGGTGAGGGCTTGGGCAAGAGCAGGGCTGAGCCCGGCCTCTGCTCTGCAGTGGGGAGGAGGTTCATCTCTGTAGCAGAGCCCACTAATGCCTTGTTTCTTTCTAGCCAAGAAACTGCCAAAAAACGAACCCCAGAACGCTCCTGGTGGCCCAGGTAGGAATCGGGTGGTTGACCTTCAGGAGAGCAGTCAGCCTAGCAGGAGCCAGTGCTGCAGCAATTGAGCAGCCGTTACGCGCCTGACGGAGCCCTCGAATGACGTGACTGGAATCCACGCTAACAATCGCACTTACCGTAGAGCGGCTGCTGCCGGTGGCTGCTGTGATTTCTCCATCCCTTTCTGATCATAGGCTGGAGGGAGTTCTTCCACCTGCACCTTTCTGTACAAATACTAATTCAATTCTAAGTCTTAAGTCACTTTTTTAATATATGAACTTCTTCCCTCTTCCTGGTGGTGGTGGATGCATGACCTGGTGTCTGCCCAGCCGGCGCACCCCCTCCCGCGGGTGAGGGCCAGCAGCACCCGGGTCCCACAGTACTGTAGTTCACTATTGGAAACAAAGGGATATTGAGACTAGACAACCTTGTTTAAAATTACCCGTATGTAAAAGCTAAGGCTAATACCAGTACCATATGCCTAGAACAACCACTAAACTGTAGCATTATAGTGACAAACTCCGGCTTTTCAGCCACTTATTGACCAAATCACTTAAGAGTATTCTGGGGTGGGGCAGAGGGAAGCAAAACTGGTTTCTTCTGTATTTTGTATTGTATGTTTCTTCATGTAACCAATCAGTATCTTGTCAATATAGTACATACAACTAGCTGCCTGTTGTCTTTATTTGTGTTGGACTCTAGCATGCCAACTCTTTTTTTTTTTTTTTTTCTATCTCCGGTTCTGTCGTAATGCACTAATCCTGTTGCAACTTTTGCAAAAATCTTGTATAGAAAATTGTCCTTTTTTTTGATGGTTGTGATGCCACTAATGTTGTTAACCCTACTCCAGTGTGAATACACATGGTTTACTGATGTACAGAGGTGGGGTGGGGGAAACCTCGGATAACTTGTCAGTGGAAACAATATGTATTGCGAAAGCCTGTAATTCCACAACGTACGCAGGGAGGTATTAAAACGGCTTCTGTTGCCAGACTCTAACTGATGTTGGCTGCTGCCTAGTGCCTAATGCAATGTCTTATGCATACTGGTATTTAAGAGGAACTGTCAACTTAGTCTTCAGTTTTGTGTGATTAAAAAAAAAAAAATATTTTATAAACCTATCATAATCAACAATGTTCATGTTTCTTAATCAGCTCAAACCAGAAGGGGAGTGGAGCAGAACGTAACCGTTGTGCTGGAGGCTGAGGGGGGCCAGGCTGCTTGTGGTGCGTACGGCACCCGGCTCTTCGGCAGGGACGCGTGGCCTTCCCTCCCTGGGCAGGGCGAAACACGGGCTGCTCGCCCTGCACCCCAGTCTGGGCTGTGCTGCCTGCTCCCGCAGCACCAGCTCCTCGGCAGGCAGGAGAGGCTGCAGGGGGTTCTGTATGCTCGGGGTGTGCTGTGCAGTGGCACGCAAGGAAGTTTGAGGTAAATAGTGGGAGTTCTTAATTGCCTAATACTTCTAGGGCAACTGCCTACAGCCCAAGGTAGGAAGAAGTGGGGGGAACAGTATGCAGAGGAACTCAGCTTGACATCTGGACAGGCTTAGGAATACTGTGCTCAAGTATTAATGAACTGTGGAGGATGATGGCTTTGAAAGATGCTGCTCTCCTCTGGCTGCTGCCTGGATTGTGAGATCCTCACACCCGTGGGCGAGAGCTGGAGTTGATGTGGAAGACGGAGCAGCCTCTCACAGCTCTGCTGCGACCTCGTGTGCTGCTGGGCCAGCATCATGCGTGCCTGGGGGAGCTTGAAGACGCTGATGTGCTGGTGCGTGGACCTGCTGCCTTTTGCCAGCTGCGTGGCTGCGGCTCTGCGAGGGGCACGGCAGCGGTCAGCTGTGTGACCACCCCTGGGCTGGGCTTGCCTAAAAAGCTCTGCCCACAAACAAAGTTGTCTGTGTGAACAGCCTCGGCTCCTGTGGGCTTCATCCTCTATCCAAGGTCATTGTGCCTTTTGCTCATGCTGGATTTCCTTAAAATCCTGGAAGTGAGAAGGGTCTGGAGCGACTCAGTGGCAGTTCCTGACATCTGGCTGGAGTGTGGGCTGCCTGTGCTGTGTGGGCTCCAGCGGCCTCAAACGGGCTTCGCTCACCTGGTGCAGTGGGTGCTGCTTGTTTCCATCCCCTGCGTGGGAGCACGGCTGCTCATCTGCCGGAGGAGGTCAGGACCCCTGCGGGACATCTGAGGTCTCATCGTTTCCCGTGTGATTGAACTGATGCTGCGCGTTTCCCAGGCAGCAGGAGATGGACCTGCTGGAGAAGGGCTTCCCCAATCCCAACTCTGAACAGTCTCATGAACACAGCACGAGCTGCTGTTGCCATCTGCTGGCTTCTGATATTTGGTTCCCGGTTGACAGGGCTTCATTTCTGGCTCCTTCCAGGACTCCGGGGTCTCCCTGGCTGTGCAGGAGCCTGCGATGCCCTGAGGGCTGTCGTGCTGCTGCCTCAGCCTGTGCTGTTCCGCTGTAAGGACTCGGTATCGGGGTTGGGGACCTGCTGCTGGCTGCAGAGGCGTGTGACAGTGCTCCATGGAGCAGAGCCTCCTCACTGCCGGCACTGTGCTGCCACGGGGAAGGGCTCTCCCAGCTTGGAGCAGCTTTAGCACAAACAGGCGTGCCTGCCTGCATACCTGCTGCCTGCCCGGGCCTGAGCAGGGGCGTTTATGGTGGTTACACACAGTGCCTGGAGATGGGCTTCCTCCTCCCTGCCCCTGGCATCCCACAGGCATCTCCAGCAGCCCCTTCCCAAGCAGCAGCTTGGGGGGAAAGTGTGGCTACAGCAGGGACACCCTACGCCCGGCCAGGCCCTCCAGCACGGCCATCTTCCAATTTGTGGCATCGGCCAGGGGGCGAGGGGCCACAGAGCTGGTGCAGATGCTGACAGTAGCAGGGAGCGAAGGCAGACTGCCTGCTCCTGGGAGAGCTGCCTCTGCCCTGGTACGGGTGAGTGGGGCTTCCCCTCCCCACCCCGAGCAGCACTGTGCTCACAGACCCCTTCCCTCCCTCTGGGACCACTGTCCCCCCTGCGCCACCAAGAGAGGCTCTTCCCTCTCTCTGCACCCAGAGCTGAGCCCGGGGCCCAACCTCCCCATCAATCAACACCAAGAGAACACAAGCAGGATCTATGCAAAAGTATTTTTATTGGATACAAAAACATTCCAGTATAGTGAAAAAAAAAAATGACATCATTGCTGATGGAGCTTGTCTGGGCTAAAACCCGAGACTTGTTGCTGTCTGCTCCGGTCCTGCCGCAGGCCATCGGTTGCCCTCCCGTTACATCTGGGCTTTCTTGGCAGCTCCGTCCTCAGAGGCTGGTCCGGGCTGTGGGGCTGCAGGGCTGACCTGGATGGGCACGTTCCTCTCCGGGGCGGCCGGCAGTGCCAGCCTGGGGGCCTCGATGCGCAGCTGCCCCTCCTTGGACAGGGAGCACGTCAGCGCCTCGGCATCCACCTCCTCAGGCACGTCCCACTCCCGCTTCAGCACCTCGTACTTGTACGAGAAGGAGCCCTTCTCATCGACGTTCTGCGTCTCCTTCTG